GTGCACTGCGCGTGTGCACGAGGACGCTGCCGGCCCTGTTCCAACCGAACCGGTTGGAACGGGGCAAAAAACCCACCCCTGTTCAGGAGCAGTCAAAATGACCCTCCGAGCAAAGCGGAAGTCACTTCCAGTTTGCTCAGAGGGTCATTTTAAGCCCTCCGAAGGCTTCAGGGACCTTCAGAAGGCTTCCCTGAAGCCTCCAGAGCAGTCAAAACGACCCTCCAAGCAAATCGGAAGTCATGAAGCCTCCGAAGGGCCTCCAGGGGGGTGGGGGAGGTTCTTTTTGCCCTCCCCAGGCTTCTATAAAGCCTCTGGAGCAGGGGGGGGGGCGAAAAATGGCTTTAAAAAAGGATGAACGCATGCGCGCTGGCCAGCTGTCAGGGCAGAGCCTCGCGTGCCCTGACAAATGGCTCCGCATGCCACCTGTGGCACGTGTGCCATAGGTTCGCCATCCCTGGCATAGCATCTCCTGCTTGAGCAGGGGGTTGGACTAGAAGACCTCCAAGGTCCTTCCAGCTGTACTCTGAATGATTGATATGTCATATTGAGAATATGGAATAGATATAAAGCCAGGCTGAGTCTGAAAAATGCCTCTGTGGCTCTCAGTATGTGGCATTTTATAGGCCAAAAAATGATAAGTAAACAAAAATGCTTAACTTACTATAAAATTTCACTTACACTGGATCTTGTAGTTACAGTGACTAATATCTTAGTAAGGAGAAGAAATTTCTATCCCTGATACAAATCTGTGCTATCTCATTATCTGGGAATTTAAAGACATTTTGTTTTTGCTGTTTACATAGTAAAGGAGTGTTAATATCTTCTAAGATGTGAGAATGCAGAGACTCTCACTTTTCTTTTGATGATTCATACTTTCATATAAAGACCGGGTCAGAGTCTTTTAACTTCTTGTTGCAAGAAGTCTTTGATTAACACAGCTGTTAAATAGCTGTAGCAGCGGGAATCTTTTCTGAAGCTTGTAAACATTCGAGTTTGTACTGTATCACAGACTGAAAAAATGAGCTTTTCTTCTCTCTTTAATTGGAAAAAGCTGTGTTATTTTTCATTGATGTGACATGCTGTATTAAGGGCTCCTTTTTATAATAAATATGTCTGTTATCTTTTTTAAAATATTGTTTTTGACAAATGATTTTTTTCCAGATATCTTGCACGTTTAACTATAATAAATATCACAGTACATTGTTCCTAAGGGGTTTTTTGGGTGGGAAATTGATAACATATCCCTGTTCCTAATAACACGTACAATAATCATAATATTTAATGGGGGTGTTTTTGTCTTCTTGAAGAAGAGCAATATGAAGTCTGAAGTGTGCCGGGCCATAAAAATAAAGATTGATCCCTAAAACAGATTGATTTTCCCCCCTTGAGCACTGTGTTCTCCTCCATATTCCTCTTTTACCCCATCCCATCTGTAAAGCTTTGGATGAAACATAAAAAGCCTATCTATAATATTTTCTTGAGCCAAAGTATGCAATTATTTAATGCATAGCTTAAATTCACACAACACATTAGATCAGTGATGGCTAACCTTTTTTGGCTAACTCCCCACACATGTGCACATGCACACACGACCAGTGCCCTCCCCCCTGCTTTTGGCATGGTTTTTTTGCCCTCCCCAGGCTCCAGAGGCTTTATAGGAGCTTGGGGACGGCAAAAAGAGCCCCCCAAACCTCCCGGAGGCCCTCCAGAGGCTTCAGGAGCTTCTCTGAAGCCTCCGAAGGGTGAAAAATGGCCCTACGGATAAACCAGATGTCACTTCGGGTTTGCTCGTAGGACCGGTTTTCGCCCTCCGGAGCCTTCAGGAAAATGGCCCTACAGCCAAACCAGAAGTCTGTTCATGAACTTCTGGTTTGCCCGTAGGGGCGGTTTTTCGTGCTCCAGAGGGCAAAAAATGGCCTCAAAAGAAGGCCGAAGTCAGCTGGCCAGTGCACCCATGCGCGCTGGAACTGACAGGGCAACACCTTGTGTGCCCTAACAAATGGCAGGTGGCACGCATGCCATTGGTTCATCATCACGGAATTAGATCCTAGAGCAGGGCTAACAAATCATAATTACTTATTCACAGGGTATATTCATTTTCAAAGAAACTACATTATGGCTTAATATGATGACTCAATTCACAAGATTTCAAGAAAATGACTAGGTCCCATAAGATGCAAAACTACAACCTACCAAACCCCATTTCAGCATGGAATGGTGATAGGTAATAATGGAATTAATTGAGCCATGGTGGCCTAG